TTTTAACTGAACACTGTGATAATAATAATAAAGGGTTTTGTGATTGCAATTGACTTTACAAAACTCTTATTGGTAGAAAAGTAGACATCAATTATGTAACTCTGGCGAGCTTAATTTGGCACCAAAATAGTTGAAGTACAATTCTGTTGTAAAGTTGTACAGAAAGTTATAGAGATTCTATTGTGACACTGGGGCACGGAAGGAAAACAATCCAATGTATGGCATTCCAGTTAGGGACACTGCTATGAGGTAGTTGAACAGGCACACTCTGTAGACATTTGTAACCGAGTCTGAGGCACCGCTTTCAGTCAAAAGCTCACTTTGTCAATCCTGTCTTTCTGGGGATGGGGTTTTTTTTGGGGAGGAGGGATACAGGGGAGTTAGCAGCTTGATTTCCAAATTCTTTACACTGGCAGATAACTGGGATTTGACTTCTTAAAGTGCTTTCATGCTCACACCACATGCATGACTAAGCCCCTTCCCACAGCAATAACTTTTACCTAGTTACGACTTAGATATTCTTCAGTAGTAAAAACTCTTGGTTCGCTGCCATGGACTTGCAATAGGAGAAGATTCAATTTTTTGAATGGCCTTATTAGTTTGGATGATACCATGAAGTGATCTGCCACTTTTTCATTACTTTAGTCTTAGGTGAATCAAAATCTCCATGGTATTCCCATTCTCAATTTATCCTGAAAACTTCGTAAGTAATCCACTGAGCCATCTTTGAGTTCACTTGATAGAAATTTTTCTCCCACTGGACTCTGTTCATCCTTGACCCTTTCACCTGTTAAACTCCATTAAAGCAGTTTTGGACTCCCACATACACATCATCCTTTCTTTGATTCCTGGTGATGCCAGGATGGTGGATGAGGCTTGCACCTCACCAAGGACAAGTTTCTTCCTTGGGTGTTTGAGAGCTGCCAGTGCTGTTGGATTCTTCAGCTCTTATCTGCCATTCTTTGGTAGTACCAGGAAACTGGCTCAAGTACTGGCTCAAATATTCAGGATTTCCCATCTTGTACTGGAATGCAGACCTACACATCTGTAATGCTTGTAATATTTGAGCTCCAAACATCCTCACCTTGTCATGTTTCAAACATGTTCCATTAAACAAAACCTAGTAAGAGTTGCGTGAATAATGCAGTGGAAAAGATTAGGAATAGTCACCTATCAGTCCCGTGGTATCATCCCCTGCCTTCACATTCCACTTAGGTATAGGATCCATCTGTTTGTCCATCTGTCTGCTGAAGAGAATTTCATGCACTGATTTTAAAACTCCCCTCTACTAGCTGAACAAATTGTGCAGTTAATACTTGGCGCTTGATAAATGCAGTAGTGAATGTGGAACCGAGCCTGTCTGTATATCTGGTAGCTCTTTTCGCTTTGTTTTTACTGACCAGTATTCTGCCTAAAGTTTGCTTCTGTGACGGTTATATTGCCTAGCACACACGTGGTTGTGAGAATAGTATAGCAAAAAGAAATACCTGGTTATTGATGTACTAGATTTGTGTATGTCTTTTAAACAGTTCTAGTTTCACCTTACACAAAATAATCAGGAAAGTGTAAAAGAATTCAAAAGTGAATAATAAAAAAAAATTTTATCATTTGGTTGTCTGTTTTCTTTGCTGTAGTAGTACTGAAACCTGTGGTAGTAAAATCACCACTTGTATTCAGTTTTCAGTTTGTGGATTGTGTGAGTTGATTCATGATTTACAAATACTGGGTTACTCATTCCTTTACCGAGAGTCTTTCCCACACACCGTCCCAGATTTGTAGGAGAAAACAGTTTCTCTTCTTTTTCCTCGAGGGCATACTTGTAATATATTGTCATTGCAGAGTTTAAATGCAGCTCTGAATAACCATTTAACTTGCCGTGAGTCATTGTATATTGTAGGGTTGAACATACTGTAAATGAGAAAAGTCTGTTGGTTACATATAGAGATTTCTCTTGGGAATCTTTTAAATACCCGCTCTGAACACAGGGCTGCCTCACCTCTGCCCACCCAGCTCTGCTCACACTGTGCTGTGCTAAAGGAACAGCAAAAGTGCAAAAAACAGTGCAGGTGCACTGGACATAAGAGCACTTGAAGGGATGGATGGCAGTAGCCAGACAGCAGATGACAGGCAGCCTAAAAGCTTCAAGGAAGCTTGGTCCTGCTCCCAGAGTGGGGCAGCACAGAAGAGTGCACAGTGGAAAATGTCACTTGGCTGCTCTTGATTGATCAGTGAAGGCATAAGGCCAAATCTAACCAGCTGCTACTTGACTGCTGCTCTGCCCCCTGCCATGGCTTTACATGGTGGTCCCTCCCTATCTGTAATTATTGCTACTTTGTCATTTTCTTCAGCGTTTATGCACATACCATACATCCTAAATTATTTTGTAGTGTGCACTAACTCCCAGTCTAACTCATGCTGATTACATCCGAGAAGAAAAATCTCTGTGTCTGCTAGCTGCTGCTGTTCAGAGACCACCTCCTTAGTCCTTTCAAATATCTCTCATCCTTGCTGTCTCTTTTGGCGAAATCGTGAGCTGAGGCTGGTCTGCAGCAGTGATGAGTTGAGGAGGTGTCTCAATTTTTTATTCTGTCTTTCTGGGAAAGGGCACTCCAACTGGCCCAGCCACAGTAAGAGTCCGGGTGCACTCTACATGTTTGACTCCTCTAACTTGCTGCTGCAGCTTCTCATTCTTGGCACTGATGCTCATCTGACCTTCGGGTGAAGCATCTTAGTGTGGGAAACCACCAGAAGGCTTTTGTGGAGGTGAGGGTTCTCCTGATTGCCCCGCAGCTGACCCTTCCGAGGGTGCAGGATGGGTGGAGCCGCTTTGGAATTGCACTGCCTCCAGCTCGAGGTTCCTGTGTGCTTTCCTCCAGCGCAATCGCATCCAGAACAGCTGGGGTGCGATCTCAGCGGATGAAAGTGAGCTTACAGCACCCCTGGGCATACAGATAAGAGATACTGATGGCAGAGGCCATATTCCCTAGGTCTCTGCTGGGTCCTGAGGCAGATTTCTGAGGAGTTGGGAAATGCGTGAGCGCCCGGTGATGAGGAATTTGTAATCGAGCTGTGTACGGCTCCTGCCTGTACTCCTTAACTTCAGGGAATTACATCCCAGAAGGTGCATGTGATTTCCTAAAAGCGCGTGGGTGGGGCACGCTGTCGGTGTTCAGGGCGACACGCCGCGCAATTCCCCTTCCCTTCCTTTGGGACGGCACGAGATGCGCAGGAGCCGCCATTCGCAAAGATGAGGAGATGCATGTGCCGACCCCCTGAGCCCCTCAGCTCGGCAGGGGCCGCCGCTGCCCGGCCGGACCGTGCCCCGCGCTGTCCGCAGGGCTGGCTGCAGGGCTGACCGCAGCGCTGTCCGTAGGGCTGTCCCCGGGGCTGACCGCAGCGCTGTTCGTAGGGTTATCCCCGGGGCTGACCACAGCACTGTCCCCGCGCTGTCCCCGGGACTGACCGCAGCGCTGTCCGTAGGGCTGTCCCCGCGCTGTCCGCAGGGCTGGGTGCAGGGCTGACCATAGGGCTGTCCGCAGGGCTGTCCCCGGGACTGAACACAGCGCTGTCCGCAGCGCTGCCCACGCGCTGTCCGCAGGGCTGGGTGCAGGGCTGACCATGGGGCTGACCATGGGGCTATCCCCGGCTCTGTCCGCTCCGCAGGGGCGGGGCAGGCCCGCACCTGGCCGGGGGTGGGTGGGGCGCTGGGCGGGGGTCCCGTCCCGCCCCCGGGGCCGCTGTGGAAGAGGCGGGCGGTGCCGGCAGCCGCAGTGGAGCGGTGCTGCTGCGGCGAGCGCTCAGTGTGAGTGCGGGGCTGGCTCTCCGCACTCAGCCCCGGCTGTCGGGGCTGTTTCTCGGGGCGGGGGTGGCCGGGGGTCGGGCTCGGAAGGGTGACAGCGCTTCTCCGCAGCCCCGTCCCGTGCCTGGCGGTGTGCGCTGCCCTTGGCTCCCCAGCGGGGCTGTGCCGCCTCTGCCTGGCCGCCTCCTCCCCGTCTGAGCTCCCTTCCCTCCCTACCTCGCTGCCTGTGAAGGGGTGCTGGGGCTGCTCTGTTACCCTGTGTTTGTTTTGAGGGGCCCTGGGAGGCGTCTCTGGGTGGTGCGAGGAGCGGGATTGTGTCCCAGAGCGGTTCTGCCATGGGCTACCCACCGTGGGGTCCTGCCTTTGGCCGGGGGATGGCTCGGTGCACTTCTCCTATACATGCGTGTTAATTTTGGGTATCTATAGGTATCAAAACAAGTTCTCAGGACTTTTGAGCTTTCAGGTAAGAGCCCCAGGGATGGACTTACAAGCTTTTGGGACAGGACCTGGATTTCTGTGTTCCTAGGCAGTACCCTGGGGGTCTCAGACTGTGACTGTTGCCTTCACACAGAATTTTATACTCAGCTGAAACCAGGCAGAGACTGAGCATCAATTTACCTGCTCTAGGAAGAGTAGTCAACAAGTTGAGAAACTGGGAATGGGTGGCTAAAACTCTGTCTCTGCCTTGTTAGAGATGGAGTTGTTTGCAGGGAGTGGCGTGGACTGCAGTTCTGCTCCCTGGGCATCCGTACAAACCCCCACTCCTTGGGTCTGCTGTGGCTGGAGGGAGCCTATGAGGAGTTAAAATGGAAGTCTCTGGTGCAGAAGAGGTGTTTACCTTCTGAGAAATTAAACTCCATTTTATTTCTCTTGTGGCTTGAGTGTTTTAAGGAGCAAATCTCTGTGTGTGTGTGGTGTGTCCCTCTGCATCCTTATGGAGTGTGCAAGGGCTGTGAGGTGCAGATCACCCCAGCTCAACTTTTGCACCAAAATTTTTATATCCTGGAAAGCTTTGGGATTGCAGCTTCCTTGAGGCATTCCTGTTCCTAATGCTGCTGGTGGGAAGGGAAGGGCATTGCTTTCTCTTGTGCTGCTGCAGTGGGGCCAGCCCCAATGTGGGTCTGTAGTTGCTGCAGATCATCTGAAGCCTATGGCCTACAGCCTCAGGTCTGTCTCCTGCAGCTGAGCTCTGCGGGTGACCATGAATGCCAGTGGCCCTGGCTATCCCTTAGCCTCTCTCTATGTGGGAGACCTGCACCCAGATGTGACTGAAGCCATGCTGTATGAGAAGTTCTCCCCTGCTGGGCCCATCATGTCCATCCGAGTGTGTCGGGATGTGGCCACCCGCCGGTCACTGGGCTATGCCTACATCAACTTCCAGCAGCCTGTGGATGGTATGTGCCCTGTAACACAGCTCTGAGGAGCTGCCTCACAGTGGGGATTTGGGTGTGCAAGTGATGGAAGGGAGCAGTTGTCTGGCTGCATGGCTGCTGGGGCTTGGTTCTAACTAATCCCAATGTGCTCTCTGCTGATGACCCATCCTGCTTGTCTCAGCTTAGGGTATGGGAAAGGGTGCAGATGCTGGGCTCTGGTGAGGGGTTGAAGGTGTCTTGGAAGAGTTGCCTCCCTCCTTCTTCTCCATCAGAGAAGGGCACCAAAACCCCTTCTGCTCTTCAGTACCCTGCTGCCCACTGACTCACAGTACAAAGCAAGGCCACTCTCCTGGCAGGCATTGCCATGACGCAGTACTGTAATTGGAAGGTGTTTCATGCTGAAGTGAGGCTGTAGTGATGGGAAGGTGTTGATTTAGTTGCCCTAGAGACCAAGATCCTTACTGGGTAAATTAACTGGGCATCTGCCAGACTGGAGCTTGTAGTGAAATGGTTGATCCTTGGGAGTCAGACATGCTTTGGAGAGAAAAAAAGTAATTAGTCAGAGTGGTGTGGCTGGAGGGGTGGGGAGGCAGATCTGCCTGTCCTATTTAGGTTAACAAGCCCCTGTTACTCCCCTCTCCTCCCCCTTCTTTGCCAGCTGAGCGAGCCCTGGACACCATGAACTTCGAGGTGATCAAAGGCCGACCCATCCGCATCATGTGGTCTCAACGGGACCCTGGGCTCAGGAAATCAGGAGTTGGAAACATTTTCATCAAGAACCTGGATGACTCCATTGATAACAAAGCCTTGTATGACACATTCTCTACCTTTGGAAACATCCTGTCATGCAAGGTAGGTGTGCCCAGGGCCCTGCAGGAGAGGGCTTGCTGCAGAGCTGCCCTCACTCTTGGAAGCATGCTCCAGCCAGCTGGAATTCACTTTCTCATTTCACTTCCCACAACATCTCCTTTAAATTCCCAGCTGCTTTGAAGCCAAAAGGCCTTGCTATGTTTCCCTTCAGAATGGGAAATCCTGTTCCATCTCAGTGCATGTGGGTCTTGGGGAGACACAAGTTCCTGGGTATCATATAAAGCAGAATGGCTCTGGTCCTGGGATTGCCCACCTCCCTGACCTTCTGCTAACACCCCAACAGAGCTCAGATACAGTGGGAGCAGGATGTCAGAGAGGGAAAATGCCCCTGGAACACGGGGATGAGTTTTCCTATGATGTACTCATGTACAAACATGGAGGAAAAACAGTGAAACAGTGTCTGTCTTTTTCCTTTGCCCCTTGCACTGTTTTTAGGTGGTTTGTGATGAAAACGGATCCCGTGGCTATGGCTTTGTCCACTTTGAGACACACGAGGCAGCAACTCGGGCCATTGAGACCATGAATGGGATGTTGCTCAATGACAGGAAGGTGTAAGTGCCAGAGAGAGGAGTCTGGGCTCTGTGCTTGGCTCTGCTCCTCCCTTGCCTTGGTCCAATGTGAGCAGTAAAAGCATGCCCTGCTCAGGCATCCCCTTCCTGCTGCTCTGTGCTCTTCCCTTTTCCATCTCTGCTGGGCATGACAGCTCTGCTCTCTCTGGGGCAGTGAGTCACTTGTGGTGGGTGCTGGTGGAAGTGTGATAGTGGTTTGGAGATATTCCCAGATGGTGGGGAAGGAGTCCAGTCCCAGGCTGGGTTTTATTGCTGAGGCAGTGTAATGAGTGCCCACAAAGTGGGGCTGGTCCTTGATCTTGGCTGTTGCCATCAGATAGTCTGGGCAGGAAGAGGTTTTGTTGTTGTTCTTCTCTGCTTGCATTGCATGACCTCACTCTCTACATCCCACAAGGCAAGGGCTGCCCAGAGTGTTTGAGAATGCTTTGGAGAAAGAGAGAGCTGAGTATCCTTTGGGGTCTTTTGTGGTGGTGGCATCCTCTGAAGTCTTTTGATGTCTGCTGAGTGACACATCCCTATTGTGGCAGTGACAAGGGGGAGTTTGGGTGTATGTACACAAGAGTAGGATATGCTGAAGTTGCTGTATGTGAAACACATGGTGAGTTTGTGGGTGAGCAAAGCATGGCCTGAGGTGATGGAATCTCTCTCTTGGCCTGTACTGAGACAGGTGTGCCTGAGCCCATCTTCCTTCTGCAGGGGACATGCAGGGTTTGAAGCCATTCCTTTCTTCCCACAGGTTTGTTGGACACTTCAAATCCCGCAAAGAGCGCGAGGCAGAGGTTGGAGCTAGGGCAATAGAATTCACCAATGTCTACATCAAAAACTTTGGGGATGACATGGATGATGACAGACTGAGGGAAATATTCTCCAAGTTTGGTGAGTGCAGTTGTTGAAATATCCTTGTGTCTGATAAACCGGAGTTGGGGCAACTGAAAAGGAAGTTGGAGGAGTGCTTGGCTGAAATAGCAAGCCTCTTTTCTTGGTGAGATGTGACTTGTTTAAACATCTACCACATAAAAGGACTGCAGTCACTTCATTTGTCAGGATGTTACATGTGCTTTCCTGCTGTGACAGAGGATTACTTGTACTTGGTGCTGTCTTGAAAAAAGTATGTTTTCTTTCTTGGAAAGTTTTTTTTAAATTGTCTTGTTACCAGCATGCTGTCTGGTTACAGGAGCCCTGAGAATAAGAATTGTTGAGTCTAAATTTAAAGAAAAGAGGCTTTTCAGTTTAGTCCACTACTGGAGGACACCTCTTGTGATGGGTTTTAGTGTTGTGCCAACCCATGGGCCATACTGTCAGTGTAATTTGTGATTATCCTTCATACAAACCCAATCTATGTGTTCATGTGTAAAGGAGATGAGATCTTCCAGCTAAAGGAACTCACTGCACTGGCTGGAGAAGCTGAAGAGCCCGGGACTGAGAGCAGCAGCCTGGGTTGGAGGGATCACTCTCACCAAACCTCAGAGCCTGCTGTCCCTGCCTCGTGGGGATCCCTTGTCTGTCCTCCTGCTTGGCTCCTCCATGCTGCCATGGCTGTCCAGTGTCCTCGCTGGGCTGGTCTCTCATGGTGGCTTCCAGCACAGAGTGTCCTTCCCTTGCCTCCTGCAGGGAAGACGCTGAGTGTCAAGGTCATGACAGACAGCAGTGGCCGCTCCAAGGGCTTCGGGTTCGTCAACTTCGAGAAGCACGAAGAAGCCCAGAAGGCAAGAGGCTCCTCACTGCCCATCTGCCCCCTGAGATTCACCTGGTGATGTTCCCACCTCTCCTCAGGGAGCCTCACCAACTTTGTGCTTGTCTGGGAGCTGGTGCTGGGTACCTGGATGGGCAGGACCTGGCAGGGGGGAGCAGGTCTCTGCTTTGGGTGGTGGGTGAAGAGCAGAGCTGGCCATGGGCTTCGTGCTGAGCTGAGAGCCCTGCCCTCCCCGGCAGGCCGTGGCTGACATGAACGGGAAGGAGCTCAATGGGCGAGTGCTGTACGTGGGCCGGGCCCAGAAGCGGCTGGAGCGCCAGAGCGAGCTCAAGAGGAAATTTGAGCAGATGAAGCAAGAGCGGGTCAACAGGTACCAGGTAAGGGGGGGGAGCAGGGTGCTCCATCCTGCAGGTCTGCAACAGGGACAGTTTCAGCCTGGGGACAGCACAGAGCTCTCTAGATCGGCATGGTGGGTGCCTCCTGCAATTAGGGGTACAGTCACTGCCTGGGAATGTCCTGGGGAGCAATATCAGGAGAGAGATTTAAACCCGGGAGGATGCTGGGAAGTGAACAAACGGGTCTGCTCATTTCCAAAATTATTAGTCTGGAAATGAGACAGCTTCATGAGGTTCATCAGGTTCACAGTGATGGTGTGGGTGTCCTCTTCACGTGGGGTGTTTGTACTTGGAGTGGAGTTTATGCACAATCCTGGCCCCTCTCCGTGTCACTGCTCCTGCAGGGCATGGCTCTGTGGGATGTCCCACCCTTCGGTCGACCTGCTGGTGAAATGTGCATCCAGTGTGACAAACTGCTGTAAACTTTGTGATCCCAAGCTGCTTTCTTTTCACCCGTGTGCAGGGGGTCAACCTGTACGTGAAGAATTTAGATGATGGGATAGACGATGAGAGGCTGAGGAAGGAGTTCTCTCCCTATGGCACCATCACCAGTGCCAAGGTGAGGGACTGGGGCTGCCACCGGAGCTCCTGGGGTCAGTAAAGGGTGCACTCAGCCCTTGGAGAGGCATAGGGATTATCATCCTGTGGAATTACACTGCCCTGCTGACAGGTTGTATCTCAAGCCAGGTATAAGGGACATGCCATTTCACCTCACACTGTCCTGAGGAGAAAATACTTTGTAGTTTTACCACAACCCTGGTGAGGTGCCAGGTATGGGACCTTAAAGCTACAACATTCTGAATATTGCCCAGCTGCTCTGTGGCACTGATACAAATGAAAATGACCCACGAGCCACCTCTCTTGGGACAGTGGGGTGACACCATGGTGTTTGGCCTTTTGGAACACCATGGATGTGTCACTCTTTTCACTGGAACTGGTGTCAGGATTCTCTGGAAGGCAACATGTAGGGGGTGGTCTGGCTTTAAGGTCAGCTACCTGTAACCTACCAGGGACAGATGGTGCCTGGCCATTGTCAGGGCACAGTGTCCCACTGATCCCCACCCCTTGCTGGCTCCTGCAGTGTTTAGCACCAGAGAATTTCTGGCCCCTGTGTCCTGTGAGGCTGAGGCACAGATTCCCCCCAGATGATCACAGGCTCTCAATCTCAGGCTGGCCCAGACTCTGCCATCTTAATTTCCCAAACCTACAGCCTGAGCAAATCGTGTCCTTTGCAGAGAAACCTGTTTGTGAGAGGTGCAGTCCCATCCATCCCACCCTGAAATGGCTGAAATGGGGGCTGAAATGGGGTGCCTGTGGCTGGATCCCCCCCCACATCCCCTGTGCTGTATTTTGTGGATGTTGCAGTGATCTGTGGACTTAGCTGTTCTTGTTCTAATCCTATTTTAGGTGATGACAGAGGGTGGCCGCAGCAAAGGGTTTGGGTTTGTATGTTTTTCCTCCCCAGAAGAGGCTACCAAGGCTGTGACAGAAATGAATGGGAGGATTGTCAGCACAAAGCCTCTCTACGTGGCACTGGCTCAGAGGAAAGAGGAGAGGAAAGCAATCCTCACCAACCAGTACATGCAGAGATTGGCCACCATGAGGGCCCTGCCTGGCCCTCTCCTGGGCTCTTTCCAGACTCCCCCAGGGTACTTCTTACCCCCCATGCCTCAGGTGAGTCCTGCTTCCCAGTGGCAGCCTTGCACAGGGACCCAAGTCTGCCCTGGAGCAGAACTTGGGCTGTGCAGGTCTGGGCACACCCTGTGGAACCGGTGGGATCTGCCTGGGCTTCCATGTGAGCAGCAGGGTGGGGTGCAGGTGCTCCAGGAAATGGGCTGGGGATTTTATAGTTGTTCTGCTCCTTAGAGGAAAGAAGCAAGGAGGAGTCTGGTGGGAGGGTGTGAGCATGCAGAGCCAGAGAGAAGGGTTACAGAGGTGCAGAAGCTCCTGAGGAGGAGATAAGTAGAGCTGCTGGAGGACATGCTGACAGCAGGGCTGGAGGTTGGTCTTTAAAGTGCTCTGGCACCATGCTTTCATGGTTTTGGCTTGTCTGTGTGCAGCAGCCACCGAGAGGCTCTGGGTTAGTTCTGGCTCAGCACAGCTCCCCAGTCATGTAGGATAATGTGTTCTTCTTCCCCAGCCACAAACCAGAGCTGCCTTCTATGGCCCCAGCCCTGTTGTCCCAGTGCGCCCTGCCACTCGTTGGAGTGCGCAGCCCTCCCGGCCTCCCTGTGAGTCTGCCTGTCTCTCCCTGGGGCTCTGGGCACCAGCTGGGCTCAGTCAGGGTCTGAGGGTCTTTAAAAGCAGCACCAAGTGTGTAACCATGGGGGTTTATCCTGGAAAAGTGTGCAGGGTTTGATGCAGGGTCGTGGTGATGGGCACCAGGAGGTGAGATGCTGGCAGTGACACCGGAGGTGAGGTGCTCCTGAACTGTCCCCAGCCACAGTCACTCCCCCCACGTCTCCTTCCGTGCCTCTGCTACCAAGCAGCTTCATTGTGTGTGTTCTCTCTGTACAGCAGTGTATCCTGAAGCCACCCCCATCCTGAGGGCTGCCGTGCCACCCCGGCGCCTGCTGTCCAACATCAGCACCATGAGACAAGCTTCCACACAGGTGCCCCGAGTGCCCCCCCAGGCCCAGAGAGTGGGTGAGTGGGGGAAGGACCCCCACGACATCCAGCTGGGACATCGCCGTGGTGGCAAGGGTGCTTACTGTGAGCTCGGGTCTCCTTGAGAATGGTGTGGTTTGTGGGATTGCTCGTGGAGGAGGCTGGTGGTGTGGTGGAGTTGGAGCGGTGTCTGGAGGAATTAAGTATTTAACTTTTGGGGAAGGTTGGGATCTTCCAGGTAATGGGACCGGTCTCTGATATGTAGGTTGGTCTTGGTGGCTACACCTTGAATATGATCCTTAAAGCAGATGGTGATGCAGGCACAGCACCTGGGCTTAGTGCTCAGGTAAAGGCAGAGAGTGGGAAGGGAGCTCTGGGACATAGGAATGGGATCTTACAGGCTCTGCATGAACTGCTGCCAATGCCAAGCCTTATTTTAGAGGGGTTTGGAGCTGAGAACCAGTCCTTGCTGGCATCCCCAGTGCCTGGCTCTGCTGAGGCTGGCCCTGGGGTGTCCCCTCCACACATGACCATCTGTGGCTGCCTACAGCCTTCCCATCTCATGAGATTTTACCCAAAGTTCATTGGCATTGATTGTCTAACTGCTGAAGTGAGCAGTGGGACCAGGAGGGCTGTCTGTGGCTTGTCCCCTCTCCTTTTGCTATTGTGCTCTCATTTCTCTGCCTTCACCTCCCTTCAGGATGAGCTGGGAGACAAGGGTCTTGCAGCCCACCCTCCTCAGTGCTGTTCCCATTCTCTGGCTGCTGATGTAGATGGGTTTCTAGAGGAGACATGATGAGGTGTGGCTGCCTTTGCCAGCTCTCCTGCCCTCTGCACAGCATCAGACCACCCCATACCAAGGGTGGCAGTGCCCTGCCCATCCTGGGGAAGCTGCCTTTGACCCGGGGGCTGCTTTGAGCCCATGTAGGACTTTGCAGGCCCTCCATACAAGCATTCTGTCCTTGTGGCTTCTTCAGCCTCCTTGGCATGCATTTAAGGACTCCTCCTCAGAAATGTTCTTGTCCCCGTTGCAGCCAACATCGGGACACAGACAATCAGCACCCGGGTGCCCTCATCTGCCCTGCCACGGGGTGCCCAGCAGTACAAGTACTCCTCATCTGCCAGGAACATGCAGCCCATGGGGCACATGCCACCTGTGGTGGCCCCACAGGTAAGTGCTCTGCAGCCACCAAGATGTGACATTGCTGGTGCTGCTCTGGGATAATGTGACTGCTGACCCCTGGGATCCCCCTGGCTCTCTGAGTGGTGCTGTGAGGACCTTTCCCAGGGGCTCCTTGGGGGGCTGTGGATCCAGTAGCCACACAGCTCTAATGCCTGACTGCAGCTTTTCTGGAAGCTGGTGTTTGAGCACAAGCAGGCAATGCTAGCATCTTGGAAGGCTGAAATACCCCATTCTGGTTGGTATCAAGCACCATTCCTGCAAGCCAGGTAACTCTCATCCCTTCCAGCCTTTAATTGCTATTCTTCCCTGTTTTTCCTCCAGATGGGAGAACCTGCTGTGCATGTCCAGGGGCAGGAGCCACTGACAGCATCCTTGCTTGCAGCAGCCCCTCCTCAGGAACAGAAGCAAATGATTGGTGGGTGCCACGGCTGCTCTGCAGGAGCTGGAGCAGGTCCAGCTGCAGGGCCCTGGAGGAATGTGGGCTGGCATGCACCAGGGCAAACTTAACTGCTGGGAGAAGCTGTAAGGCTTTGTGGGGTTGCTCTGGTATTATGCTGCTTTAAGAAAATAATAATAAATTCAGTCTGTGTTGGAACTGGATGGGAGCAATAAAACCACTCCCTGTCTGTGTGAGCTGCCTGGCAGGGAGAGAGTGTCTGGTGAAGCTTTGCAGAGAGGCAGAGCTCCATCCACCCTGCCTGTGCTACCAGGCCATGCCAAGGCATTTGCAATTCCCCTGAGCTCTGAACCATCCTGTACTGCTGCTCCTGATGAATAGTTTGGTGGCCATAGGGGTTAAGGTCAGCTGTGCCACACAAACTTTGGGTTTCAGGTGTTCCATGTGGAGCAGGCAGTGCCCTGGTGTGGGACAGCATTGCTTGGCCTGGCCAAACCACAGCAGGTCACAGATGAGCTCTTTGCTCCCCGGGAGGAAACTGCTCCTGCAGAAACTGGCACTTTCACCTGTGCAGGGGTGGGCAGATGTGCACAGCTCCACTGCCCTGTGCCCACTGTAGGTGCCTGCTGCTGACTGCACCCAGCAGCTTCCTGTTGCTGGGAGGTGCTGGAGTAGCTTTGCTTGTGAGCAGTGTTTTTTCCACCACCATCACCACCGTTGTATCCCATTTCAGTTGAGAGGTCAAGAGGGCTTACAGTGGGTTTGAAAATGCTGGAGGGCTTGCATAATGCTCATGTGCTTGGTGGTGTTTGGAGCAGGTGAGCGCCTCTACCCTCTGATCCATGTGATGCATCCCTCACTGGCTGGCAAGATCACAGGGATGCTGCTGGAGATCGACAACTCCGAGCTGCTGCTGCTCCTGGAGTCCCCAGACTCCCTGCGCTCCAAGGTAGGAGGGACTCGGTCCCAAACCATCCCTTTCCAAAGGGCTGAGTACCTGCTGCTGCACGGAGAGGTGAGCACAGCCCAGGACATCCATCACTGTAGGGAGGGCGAGTAGCTGCTGTTTTATTTTCAAGTGAAAAAGGAGCCCAGGTTGATGTCACCACATCCAGTGCCTGGATGTCTGCCTGCCTTCAGCAAAAGGAGCTGGAAGCAGCTCCCTGAAAGCACAGGCTGAGGGTGGTTTAGAGGTTATTGGGAAGCAAGAGGGGAAAAGCAGGGTGGTATCTCTACATGGAAACAGCCAAGAGGATGCTCTTTCCTCAGAGTAGAAACCAGACAAACTGCTGCCTCTCTGCAGTATCTTCAGTTACCTTCTTAATTCTGGTGAATATTTAGCTTTGGTTCCCATCAAAGTAGCTGGAGTGAATTGACTGCATATTTTTGTTGCTCCTTGGAGGCAGCAGCTGCTTTTAACCTTCCACTGGTTTTTTTTTGAGGAGCCTGGGCTCTGCTGGGTGGTGTCAGGTAGCTTCACCTGTGAAATCTGACTTCTGTCTAGTAAGTTCTGACTTGATAATAAAGGAGAGATGCCCCAGAATTTACCTTGGTAAGAGACAGAAAAGGTCTTTGGGCTGAACAGTCCCCTGCAGAAGCAGCAGGCTGGGATTTTGTAATTATTCAAGTCCTTTACCTTTTGAAAGTGGGTCTGTGTGGAGGCCACATTGGGAGCTGAAATCTTGACTTCCTGGTGCAGTGCAGTTTTACACGAGAGCAACTCAACTTCTCCCCCTTGTGCTCTGTTGTCAGATCGAGGAAGCGGTCACTGTTCTCCAGGCACACCAGAGCACCGAGACACCCCACAAGGGCAGTGCTGGGGCGTTCCTGCAGTGACTCCAGGTGGGTGCTGGGACCGTGGTGTGCTCAAAGTCTCTGCTTTCTGACTCTGAAACTGGGGATTGGGCTTCTCATCCAGGCCAAGTGAGGTTTAATGAGCAATATCAGTGTCTTTGAGTGTAATATTCCATTCCTTAAATTGCATCCTCCATTTTCTGGACTCGGTTGTACTGTAAAGACCTGTGTGGGCTCTTTCTGTGCTGATGAGGGCAATGACTCTGCTACCAGAAAGGGAATATAGGAAAGGTCCTTGCTTTTCTCTAGGTCTAGTGGAGACCAGCCCAGTCTTTTATGGGAATTTCCAGTGGGTTTTTTTTGCAGAACATTGACAGTAGATACCCTATAAAATATCTTTTGTGTGCTTGATCAGGAGATCTGGCCCTGCTGCTGAGGCTGGGATAGACACACTAACAGAGCAATTCAGACTGTAGGTACCCCTTTGAAGATAATTCAGATATTTTCTTGACTTATGATATCAAAGTTGTGTTAATCCAAGTTCAGGTCAATTTCATCTTTTCTGGATGAAACACTTCCTTTAGCAGTTGAAAATTACATATGTGGGTTCTCTGTTTCTTGCAGACTGTAAGACTGAGAGTAAGCCCTGGGAATGTTGCTGTTGAAGAACAGCAGCAGGAACTTCACCGTGCTCTTGGAATCACGCCTGTACAGTGACCCTGGCTTGTCTTCAAATGCCCCATCCTATTGTTAGTGTGTATTGTAACCCCTGGAGAATTGCTTCCTCCTGCACCTGTAAAAATCCTCACATTAAATCTCTTCTCACCACTGAAAGCACCTTGTGAAATGTAGTGTGGAACCCAGCCCGGGTCAGTTGCCCAGGAAATGATGACGGCTGATGTATCATCATTTTAGTAAATTTATTGGGTTCTGTAGTTTTATTTGTTCATGTAGCAGACACTAATAAAGAACTGATACTTCCACCCTTGCAAATGAGTTAGTTCCCAAAGACAGCCAATACTTTGCTTCTTGCAGGTGGAAGGATGGAGTCAGGCTGCAGTAATTAGTGAATAGTAATTTGTGGTGCTGTTGGGGTTTCAGTCTGGAGAGCTAACAGAAGGGACATACAGGATTACACTAACAAATTGCCAACCAACAGGCTCCTCTAACACTTTGATTCCCTAGGAGGATGGATTTAAGCAAAACAGGATGGATTGCTGCTGTTCTCCTTCTGTAATGAACCTCATATACCTGCAGTTATGGCCTCGAGTGTCTCCTGGTCACCAGAGGGTCTGTCTGTGTGTCTGTGGTGCACAACATCAGCTTTCTAAGGTACTGTGGAGTAGCTGTAAATCAAAAGCTGTGTTTCCAAAGTTTCTCTGACCAGAGATCCCAAGGAGTCACTGAAGAGCCTGCAAGCATTCACAGCTACATTGTGTCCCACAGGGACACTTCCTGCTAGCAGGAGCTGGGACATGTCATTGCTGCCTTGTGCTCCCTGTGTTGCTGTCATCACCCTGCCCTTCATCCTCTGCTCTCCCCAGTTAGGAAAGGAATTCCAGTCCCTAGAGACTCCTCGGTACTTGAGGCTGGTGATGCACTGACCTCACTTGACTGCTTCCTCGAGCTGGCAGGAGCACACCTCCACCAGCACCACCCACCTTCTTTCTGTGCAGCTTGTGCTGGTTTTGCTGTCTCAATCTTCCTTCTGTGCTGTATCATACTCACTTCAGCTCCCTGCTGAGTCACCCCTCCTACCTCTTGTTTTCCTTCCAGCATTTTAATAGAACCACTTACACATTTGCTCCTGCATGGTGTCTGCTCTGCTCCACTGGGGCTTTTCATCACTCCTTTTTCTCACCTTCATTTCACCACTTCTTCCTCTGACCTCCTTAAATATTTATTTTCCTCTTAGTGGATGCCTCAGCCTGAACTGTTCATTGTTTAGATATTATCTCCTCAGTGAGATGCTTATAGAGGACTTCATTTAATATACAGGACCCTAATTTATTATTTGTCTCAAAATGCCACAGCCTGGAAGATTTTCTGCTTTGTCTCCAGAGGAAAAACATGTATTTGCATGAGTGTAATGCATGTAAGGAGAGCTGGAATGGAGGTGCACAGGTAATCTTCATTTTGCTGTTGTTTAGCTTGGCTGCAGACTTTTTTCAGGTATAACAGGGAAGTTCAGGTACGCCTGTGACACCACCTACAGTGCCAGATGGCTGCACTGGGTGAGTCCTCTTTAAAGCCAGAGGGAATGTGAAGTGGGGCCCAGGAACATGGGGATATCAGAATTGCCTCTGAAAGGATGTGAATGAGGACAGGAAGTTTTAAAATTATGATCAGCAAAGGTGAAGCTGGTAATTGGATACTTGAAATTATTCAGAGTAGCTCCCTGGCTGCAGTCCTTGGTGAAGCCTGAGGCTTTAGGGAGTTGAGGCAGCAATGCCAATGTCTGGAGGCTCCAGTCTGGAAGAGCTGCTGTTTCTGAATGGGGCACATGAAGGCGTGTCCCTGTGACAAACCCTCTCCTTTGCCCACCTGGGAAGTGTCCTGCACAGACAGCAGCACCTCTGAGCTTGCAGTAGTGTCTCACTGCTGTGCAAGACCTTTGTGCACCTGGTGCTCTTGCTGGGGAAATCTTTGGTATCAGGCACAAAACTGCTGTTTTCAGGGGAAGGAGATGGCGACTGCTGCTGCTTAGGGGTGCTGTCATGAGCTGCTGTTGAACAGTGCAGGTATTTGTCATTCAGGTGACAGAAGGGCTGCCAAAAGGATCGCTCTAAATCAAGTGAAGCCAGTCCCACTCCTGGATTTTGTGACCTTTCTGTGCTTATCTGTGTACTGTTGTGTGCTTCCCCGCTGAAATCCATCACGCCTGCTAAGGGCTTGGGCAAGGGCTGGCTATGGGATCAATGGAGCTGCCATGCTTAGAAGCAGGAATGGAGTGAATGGAGCAATTTGTGCCCCTCAGGGAGGACTTGTTCCAAGCCCTGGCCCATTACAACTGATGGAGTACAGCCCTGGGACCTACAAAAAGCTGTTTAATGTCAGGCTAAGGTGAGAAGTTTTTGTCTTCAATGGCATTAGAGGGATTGCTCTCTAAATTCAATTCAGCAAGGTACCTGAAATACTGCTGGGAGAGGCAAGGTGGGAAACAAACATTTTTGAACCCTGACCAAGGGCAAGCTTCTGCCTCCTGGTCTGTATTATGAGTTGGATCAGGTCTAGCATTGCCCAGACTCTAACAGGCTGAGCAAGGGCTGGAAATCCTGATGCAGTGCTGGGCTCTCCTTGGCATGCCTTTCCCAGCCTCGTGTCCCTGGAGCTGTAGGCTTTCTGGTTCTCTGAACTCTAATGGCCACTCTGAGCTGTCACTGACAGAGCAAGGCACCTTGCAGTGCTTGAAGTCCTCTGACAAACAGAGGGGACAATATGAGTGGTTAAACAAGTGCTTCCCCCCTCTATTCCATCCATCACAAAAAATACAGTCCTAGAGTGAAAATAACATGGCTTTAATGAGAACAGGTTTTAACAGCTCACAAAGTAACTCCAAGTATCTCTTTATCTACCACTTAAAATCAGTGCCATCAATACCAGATGAGGAGAAATTCAAACATGCATTGAAGTAGTAAGCCAGACCTCAGCTGGGGTGTTACTGTGTATTTTCCTCCCTGTAACACCCCACAGCAACTGCTCCAAAAGGCACAGAGGAGCTAAAGTGGTTTTAAAAAAAAGACAAAAAAACATTGCCAAATTCCCAAGCACTCAGAATCTGAAAGAATAGTGCACAGTGTAACAAGACAGGCTTAACTTGCTGCTGTTTTCTTAAATGTGCAGAATAATTAAAGCTGCTACTGTAAACATCTGCCCAGCCACACTAAGCAGCAGAACCCAGCTGAGGGCCAGCAGGCATCAAGGGCGAGAGGGAACAACCTTGGCCCCGTGCAAGTGACTGTGCCCCTGTCAAAAGAAGGGTATGTGGTGCTCTGGCAACTACAGCAGTTCTTGCAGTGACTTTCTTTCAGTCATAGCAGCACAAATGCAGCAAAAATGTCACCTGAATAAGGACTAAACCCCCTCTGTAGCTCTTCAGACAGGAACAGCCACTTCCTGTGCATCTTAGCCAACATGTAAAGAGTCCCTGAGGCCAATAGTTAGAGGCAAGTTGACTTCAACCTGAAAAATTAACCTAAATGCCTCTTGGGGAGGGGCATTAAAACTATGCATGATCATAGAGCCAACTTAATAGTTTGATATAGATTATGTCTTAACAATCATTGTGCTGGTACAGAACCTCTTAGATCTCAGCAGCACTGGAAGAGAGATTTCAACACCAATCCTGCATTGACTGGTCCCTGTATCAACAGCAGAAGGGAGAAAGCTTTCCTTGTTGCTTGGTTACTCTAGGCTCTGTTCAGCTCTTGCAGTAATCTCAGTGCAGCTGTGTTCTTTGGTTCAGTTTTCAACAAGCTCTTGATGTCGGCAATACTTGATTTGTAATCCTAGAAAAGGAGTATTTTTTTAAGGGTTAGTGCATTAAAAAGGCAGTCTAAGGCAGAACTACTGCCCAGCAACAGAGGCAAAGACAGTACAATTAGGCCTGTGCCTCTCTCTCTGTAACTGCTCAAGCACTGGCATTGATGTAGCTGTTCTAAAACATGCTCAAACTAAGGCTGAGAAGGTAATTTCATCACTCAAGTGGGTTTTGACTCCAACACTAATGCAATATGTTGTTGCCCTGGAGTTTTTGGCCTTCTGATGTTGACATATTCTTGTTACACTTTCTCATACTCTTTCTGGTAAACAGAATTGTTTTGCATTCCTCTTTGGAGGAAGCGAGCATTGGAGGCCCGATGATGAGGCCTGTAGAGTCAGAAGTCTCTTCATCACTGTCCAATCCGTGCTCATTGTTAGATTTCCATCAATAGTCATATCATGTAAATAAATAGGTCTTTTTCCTGCTCGACCAGGAGTCAGGTGTGTGAGTCTCTCTCTCTTTCTGTGTGTGTCACAACAACCACAATCTGTACTCTAGT